CGAATGTCGATTTTATCTTCTCGGAAGCTCGTTCAAGCCCGAAACTTGATCCTTTGATGACCTATTCCCTTTTTCTCAAGCATTTGAACATAAAATGGATAATTTATGATGATTTTATGTGGAATCCCATTTTATGACTCTTAGAACAAAAATGAGAGTTTTATGCATCAGAATCACTTTTTATGAGATGATTAAATATTATTTATGTGCAATAACGTTTAGAATATGATGTAAATGATATGAACGAAATGGAGTTATCAACATATATATAATATATATATATATATATATATATATATATATATATATATATATATATATATATATATATATATATATATATATATATATATATATATATATATATATATATATATATCGAATATGGCAAGCGTTTTAGAGAAAAGGGAGAGCTTCTCTGATTTTCCTGTTCTTTCTACCGACGATTTACACCTTGCAACGCCGCTGCATCTTCCCGGAGATACTGGCCCATCCAACAGGCGATCTCCTCCATCCCTCCCTTATATCGACGTCCTTAGAGGATTCTCAACAACCGCAGAAGCGGATGGCAGAAGTGATTCCACTGCAATTCTCCTTCCGCCTCTTGCCCAATTGCAAGTTTCCGAAGTCCTAAGGCGAGAACCCCCAGAGAGAATCCAATCCACAACCCAGGGCCCGGCAAAATTTCGCATTGAAGGTAAGATCTACACCTTCACCAAATCGATTTTCAATAAGAAAATCTGTGTTAGTGAAAAAAGCAGGAAAAAAAACTTCAACATATGGTTAGGGTTGGACACTTGTGCTTGGCTTCTAGAGGCGCTTCTGTTTCTTACGTGTGAAGGAGGTCTGCGTACATCCTACCGAAGAGAGAAGAGGAGACTGCTCACCATATCTTTTCACTCCTACAGATTTGGTAACCATTTCAAAATCTGTGAGCATCACCAAGACGGCAAGACCTGGGTTCTCATCCCTGAAGGTAATCAAGGTTCTGGGATTATTTCGTTCATCTCCTGCTTTAAGAAAATTTATGACAACTTAAGGTCCTCTATTCCCCATCCCCCTCCTTTTGTTGACAATGCCTTAATTTGTGCCTGGACTCAACCTATTCTTCAACAACCTTCAAACTCCATCTCAGCCACCTTGCTAAAATTGGAATTTTCAGAGAGTCTGTATCCCCCTTTTGGCCCTCCAATTACCCCAGCAAACTCCCCAAAGCTGTCCTCACAAGGGACCCTTTCTGCTTCATCGCTGCCTACAACAGGACAGGATGTAAATACCCGGCGAAGTGGAGATGTCACAAGTTCCGAAGGCTTTGTTGGAGATCCCACCTCTGTGGTAACTAACAAGCAACTAGTGATTTTCCAGAACGAAGTAGCTCCTAATTATAGCCTTTCCACCAGCCAAATCGAAGAGTTTCCACCTTTGCCACGGAAAATCCTTAGTCCTTTTGCTCCCACCTTTGTGCCCGCTGTATACTCCTACGCTGATATTTTCACTAAGGATCAAGGATTCAAAGCTACTGCTGAGCCGGAAGAAGACCCCTTTACAAATCTCAATGGCCAAAGCTTGGTTCTATCCCTCAACGTAGTGGAAGATCACACTAAGGACAGGGAAGGACCCATTCTCTATACCCACTCCGATGGGGAGGATTTTGTTTTCATAGACACAAAGCTCAAACCTTTGCAAATCGACTTCTCAAGATGCTCCAAACACCCACTCCATCTCCGTAAGGAACTAAAGGGAAGAAGGACGTACTCACCGTCACAAATTGTTACGAGGAGTAAGCCTAAAATCCTTGAGCAAGGAAGAAAATTTAATCCTATCGGCTGGGTCGAAGAAGAAGACTTGTTAGATCCCCAAGAATCACATGAGGACGAGGTTATCAAATTTTTCAAACTTTGTTGTCCTAACAAGATAGAAGATCCTAAACCCCTCAGCAAACCTCTAACCAAAACTCAAAAAAAGAAAATGAAGAAGAAAAAGAAGCAGTCTCAATTTTCTGACTATGGTTTCGATGAAGAGATAGAATATGCTTATTGATTGACCTGCAGTAATTTTATTTCTCTAACCCCTCTCTTGAGTTATCTACCTATTGTTTGTTACTGCCTAAGCCTATGTTTTGGAGTTGCAGCTTATCCGTTTTAGAGCACTGGCTTTTCATCTCTTCATAAATGCCATTACCTAAGGGTAATTTCACAGCTGCGTTGGGATGCTCCTGCTGGGTAGCAGTTTTCTTCTAAATAATGTGAAATATGAGACCACAGCTGGCGCAGGTCTACCTCTTCCTGGTTTTTTTTCTCCTATGGTTGGACTCTAGCATCGTCTAAAATTTGGGAAGTGAAGGTAGTTGGTCCTCTGTCCCTTTTTGCTTGGCTTGGAATTCTTCATGGTTTTCCAAGATAGATTATTGGCTGGAATCCATCTTTAAACATGTATTCAGTATCTTGGGTATTAATAATTGACCAAAGGGTACTTTTGTACGACTGAGAGCTACTCAAAAGGGCTGAAAATTACTGAAAGAGACTATTGCTCGGTCCCTTGGCCTGACACAGCATCATCTTCACAAGCTTTACTCTTTTGTTTTATTTCTTTGGTAGTCTTTGGTTTGATATTTAGTTGGTATTTTGTCTGGCCGGTTTGTAGGGGTTGGCCACCCCCCTCTCTTGTATTACTTTTTCATTTCCTATTAATAAAAATAAAATCTACTTTTCAATATATATATATATATATATATATATATATAAGTAGGAAACTTTTATTGAAAAAGAGAAGGAAATAGTACAAGGGGAGGGATGGGACGGGTCCCTACAAGCTATCCCATAGTACATAGAACATACCAAAACAAAAAAAAACCAACCAAGACAAAGCAAAACAAAAGAGGACAAAGAAAGGGCTAGGAGTCTGCATCAATTACCCATCAGATCATGAAGTTTGGAGACCCACAATGTCTTCCGTCTCTTTAAAATTTTGCTTAGCTCCAAGCATGTCCTTGTGAGCAATCCAGCAAGGAGCAGGTAGCCCCCTTGTAGAGATTCCCATCACGAGAAAAGTACAGATTTTGTGCCTAGAGCCTAATACCCAGGAGGTATGTCGACCTCTAATTTCCTAGACTAGTTTCCTTCTATCCATTAAGAGATAGATGTCTATCCTTCATCAACCTGAATGTCCAGTCTTTAAGCTGTTGATGAGGCTCAAAACCCATCAGGTCAATTCCCTAATTCAAACCCTTGCTGATGAAGCTCAAAACCCAACAACTGCAACAAAGCTAAAAAATCAAACAAAAAACAAAAAAAACTGCTGCCCAATTCATCAAAACCCCTAGGTCAATTCCCTTTAGAGGACCAAAAGAGCATAAAAGAAGGACCAAGAAACTGAAAATGACCCATGCCCAGAATGTAATCTTATTCAATCCTGTTCTCCGCATAAATGAGGTAGAACAACGTTCATATCTTCTTTCGCATAAGCAAAGTACACCGGATACCTTTCACCTTCCATAGTTGCTGCATCAATATACTCAAAACTTTTGATTGCCTCTCGTGTAACCCTAACGACTTCCTCTGAGTAATTGCGTATCTGTCCTTTGTTGAGAGCATCCAAAAACTATTTGCTAGCAATTGATTTCCTGAAGAGGTTAATGTTATCCTTGATAACTTTGAGGTGTTGTGCAATTCGGTTTTTAATAACCGACCGAAATTGGTTCGGTTTAGTCGGTTTCGGTTTCTCGGTTATTCAAAAACACCAGTTCGGTTTCGTTCGCTTTTTTTATACCAAAAAAATTCGGTTAGTTCGTTTTTGGCCCAAAACCGACCGAACCGACCTGATGCTCACCCCTAATCTCTCCACATCTCTGTCCGGGAAGGTAAATAATTAGTTTATTTATGACTAATGATAATTTCAATTAATTATAGAATGAGTCAGGATTCGACTCACGGTTAGGCGAACCCTCACGTGGAGCCTGATCATGTTAGTGTGCATACTGTGCACACCAAAGCATCTAGCTACGCACCCTATCAACAACAGCCTCAGCTAGAACATCAGCAAGTTCTGGAGTAGTTTGCGGGTCAGAACCCGAATATGGCCATTCTAATGTTCCAACCACAAATGGTTGCGAACATGTTTGAGTTCTTCCAGCAGATGGCTGGAGCACATGTACCTCCACCACCACCTCTTGTACCCATCATCTCGATTAAGAAACTCAATAGAAATGGGGCACAAGAATTGAGCGGTGACCAGATAGCAAATCCCCTGATAGCCAAACGTTGGTAGGAACACACAGTGAGGGTACTGGAAAATTTGAAGGTACCTCTCAAAGATTGGGGACAGCACGCCATATCCCTAAAGCAGGATGCCGCTTATGATTGGTGGAAACGAGTGGGCGCTAACATTCACGTGCCAGTACCATGGGCTACCTTTGATCCACTCTTTAGAGCAGAGTATGTACCCGATCATTACGTTGAGGCCAAGTATGAAGAATTTTCCAAAATCACTCAGTGGAAACTGACTCTCCTAGAGTACCGTCAAGGGTATGAGACAAGAAGTTGCAAGAAGTTCATCAAGGGTATGAGACAAGACCTCTCATCATCACTCATAATAGTTCCCCGAGCCGACATCAATGATGTCTACAAGAACGCACTTGAGCTGAATGAGGAGCTCATAAGAAAAGCTGCATATGAACATGCACTGCTAGCAGAAAGCCAGGCCGTCCAACCGGGCACAAGGATGGGACCTGGTAACAAAAGAACCTTCTCCACACCGAGTAGCTCTCGCCATGATAAGTGAGCAAAATATGTTCCCTCTACATCGGTGGCTGTCACTAGTAAGAGTGGGAAGGAGAAAGTGACATACCGCAATCCCGTATGCTCACTGTGTGGCCGAAGGCATCCTGGTGAGTGATGGTTCACATAGGGTCTTTGCCTTGGATGTGGTCTTGCAGGTCACTTTCGGAAGAACTGCCCGACGAACCCAGGCGAGGTCTTCTCCACGGCACCAGGCACGCCGACTGCTCCTAGTGTCCGACGGACCGAACCTGCTCAGATTCATCGTTCCACGGCTGCGTCTAACTAGCCGAAGAGGCCGGCACTAGTCAGCAGCAAGGAC